TAATAATAATAATAATAATGTATGTTGTTTATATATATATATATATATAACGCGTGTTGATTTGGCCGTAATCATCCCTTATATTAATATATATGATATACTGTTAGCAAACAACAACAATGTCTTGTCTTATCAGTAGGGTGCTAAATTTTAAAATTCACTGCCTTAATCAATATGGATAAATCTGTGGTATACTCATACATGGTAATAAACTTCTTGATCAATCATTATTTGCAAATCTTGTAACTCGACATCGGTTAACTCTCCGATTAAATCAAGTACAATCTCAATAATATACCATATTCTATTCTCAAAGCATGTTCTTTATATTATCTATATATATTCCATATACCTCAATGCTACTTTATTTTGACCAATCATCATCTACAATTACTATAACCCAACATTTGTAAAATATAATATCTATTCTATGCATCGTATATTTATATATATACATTCTCATTTAATATTCTTTATTGTACACATTGAGCAACATTTCCAAGAATATGTAATAAAAAGTATCATTCCATAATTGCTCTCTATTTGAATTTGTTAATTTTATTTATTTATTTATGAGTGTATTGGTTCTACTATTCAATTCTAAAAACCCTAACAAATATTGATAAAATATATAAATTGGTAAAAGGCCCATTAATATTGACCCCATACAATATAAAATCCTAAAAACTAAATAGGTGAGATTAGGTGTGTTTGATTGTCATCCATTTCAGGTTGACAAGTTTTCAAAAAATTTCATCTCAAATATTTTAATTTTTTTTTTTTTTTATTGTAATTTCACATATTATATCTTATTTCTATCTCTTAAATAAATATATCTTTACATATACTCATGCACATTATATATAATGTACCGATTAAAAAGTTCTAGGTAAAAGTATTTTTAACCAATGCATGTAAAAATTTTAAAATACCCCAAAAACACAAACCACATAATTTGTTATTTCTTTTTTTTTTTTAAATATAATTATACATTTTAATCACATTTTTAAATTTCATAATTTATAATATATTATTTAGTTATCTTCATCTTAATCTATAATTATTTTTACTAATATATTTCTTAATTACTTAGTAATTATATTTTATCTAAATTTTCGCTTCTAATGAACAATTTATCCGGGACGGAGGAAATATTAATTTTATTATATAATTAAAGATATTGTAGACAAAATTAATAATCTTGTACAATTATTTATTAAAATAAACATTAAATTATTTTATCATATGATCATATAGTACATTAAAATAATACGTGTATTATAATCTAATCATACAAAGTAAATGCAGCAATGTATATTAACATAGCAAATATATAAACTATAACATACAACACATACTAATAATCAATAGAGTATGTGCTGTACGTTAGGGAGCCCCCATATGTCGTATGTTCTATTTTCATGTTTGGTTTAGGGAGCCCCATATGTCGTATGTTCTATTTTCATGTTTGGTTGAGGGAGCCCCAACTCCAACAATTCCCCATATGTAAATATTTATATATATATACACAAACACAAACAAACGGAAATACAACTCAAAAAAACATCGGCACAACCAAAAATGTTGAATAATACGGGGAAAATGAACGAGTCAAGAAATGCACTTTTAAAACATACCTTTACTCGGGCAGAAATTGTGTCCACAAACCATGGATGGACATCAACATCTTATGTTACAGTTTGTGTCCTAGTGAGCTCCACGTTCGTAGCTGAGTGGCAAAAGAAACTGGATAACAAACACATGGACCAAAACAAAAACAAATAGTGTCAAAACAAATGTCCAATATTATTACATACCAGGAAGATCGGTAAAGACACTTCATTTTGGGCATGTGCCAACATTCACACACTAGCAGCATTCTTTTGCCAAACTAGAATGTCATTTTATTATCCAAACATCACCATCAGTATCAAGAAATGTCACCAGTTCATCTTCAAAAGGTTTAAGAATCTCAATTTGGGCCCCCAAAGACTAACACAATAAAACACTAATCACGAATACAAGATTGGAAGTATACTTCCAGCATACGACAAGAAACTATTAAAGATGTCTGCGCGGTTTTACTAGAAAAAGAAGTTCCTAAACTGTTAAGTGTTACCTATGCATATCGAAGAAATGTAGCAATGTTCTCTTATAAAGATGGAACTACAAAATCCAACAAAGTTTGAGAGATACAAAAGTTTCTCACATGTTTCCTATATCACAATTTTCCAAGTAATGAAAGAATGCATTAACAGGTTCAGCCCAGAGATTTTGCCATGCAGCTAATGAGAATTTCTTGCCGGAGAAAATTGAGCAGATAGATCACAGAAAATATAGAAAAGCCCAAACAGGCTTTGAGAAGTTTAAAACCAATTAGGAAATATAAGATAATAAGAAATGTAGGTTAAGAGCAGAAGTCAGTAGAATCTCCAAACCCTAATTGAGCTGAGAAAAATGTTAAGAGTTTGAAGAAGAAAATGGCCATAGTGCATATTAACCAGCAATTTCTATAGCTCATTCCACAGATGAATATGTATGAACTGTAGCAAAACATCGAGATACAAAATGATATGTGAGCGTGCAAGAAGATACAAAAATCAACAAAGAGATGGTGCAATGAACTTTAATTTCAACAAACATCAATATTATGATAAGAGTATCCTCCATTTTACTTACCTGGAATTACAGAGCATGTTAACCACAAATGATTTATTCCAATTAAATGGCATCTTCCGAACTGCATTGTACACCAAGCATACTCCCTGCCTCTAGCTACATGTGAACAACCCTATGTGTTTTGCTTTTTGTCCTAATCCATTTTGGCAAATATGATATTCAGCAGTTCTAGCATCAATCAATGATCAAAGGCATCTTGATGACCTATGCAGGCACACAATAATCCTCTTTGCTAAGTGCTCAAATTCAATCACAACTATCATCATCAGACATAATTTGGTCAAGCTAATTCAGACATTATTCGAATTTATTTTGATGCAGGGGAAATATTCAAATTGAAATGCACATTTCAACAACAATCCAGCATACCGTGCCAAACAGCCAAACAGCATCAAAGATTCAAATAAAATACCTCATTCTTTCTGGAGATCTTCTCTGCTGGAGTAATTCAAGCATGAGAAAGATGGCGGCGGCCCATTATCAAGATCAGAGGAGTCATTGATCTCTTTGTAGCTCTAATTGTAAGTCTAGCAACCTAATAACTTCAATTTGTCCAATCTTTTTGGGAGACATTTAGATTCCATGGATTAAATGAATAATGCAACTCAAAGAGTAGCATATACTATTTACTTGTTAACACATTTTACAGTGGCGTGGTTCATGACAGGGACATGATCCACTGTACATGTAAATTAGTTCCTGTATGGTTCACAGAGATTTCATATGTAGAACATATAACCAATTTTTCTTCTGAGTTGACATTGGATTGAATTCAATCAGATGAAATTGTAAGAAACCAGAAAATTCTTCAACTGTAGTCGGTGAAGAAACTTGTACATATTCTCCAGCAACTATATTGTCCAACCTGTAAAGGAAAATAGCATATTGTAATATGCTCCTTGGTGAAAATAAAGCTGACATGCAATATGCAATCATCATCTTATCACTACATTATTATTATTATTATTATTATATAGAAATTTCATAAATTTGTGAAAAATGAATCAAGTGAAGCGACAATAAAGTTCTGGAAATAAAAAAGCAATGGGAGCTGAGTTACAGAGTTATGGAAATGCATTAGACATATATAGTTCCAGTGAAACAGCACGAAGTACGAGGAAACACAACAAAATCTGATGAGCAATATATACTGGGAACATAAGTCTTAATGTTATGTTTAGCAATTGTATAAAGAATGAGTAATAACTCCAAATAATAGCATATTTTTCGATTTACAAAATTGTGTATTACTTGAAACTTTATGTGAAAACATCATAATATTTGATTTATGGCATACTTTATTACTTTGTTTCGCTTGGCATGATCCATAATCTGTTTGTTGAGATTATTGACGTAATAAGCGTTTATAAACAATTTTTTTTGGCCCAGAAAAGCTAAGTATTAAAGGCAAGCGAAGGCACTTCTACCCATGCAAGCGACGCTCTTACCGCTTACGCAAGCGCCAGCGACCAGACATTCTCCACTAAGCAAGCGAGACTAGACCAGTCCAAAAAATTAGCTAAGTGCTCATCTCTAAGCGGTCATCCCATTCCATTGCCAGCCAGCGATAATAGCACCGTTTGAGCTGCCCCGATACCCTCCAGCCATGTCAGGCAATTGAGGAAGATCTGTACCCATGCATTCTCAGGCAAGCAAAGCGAGTAACCTAAGAGTTATGGCCGGTATAACTTCTCCAACAGATTAACTGCTGTCAACTGCCTAACTGTCCAGCGGTTTCAACCGCTTCTCAACTGCTGTTAACTGCCAATCCTGAAATCTATAAATAGGGCCAAATTTCAATGATCTAGTTAAGATTGGCCACGGAGTTGAATCTCAGATGTGGAAGTTTTATTCTGATTTATTTGGTGTTTAGTTGGCTTAGATTATAACTTCGAATTACTGCTTTGTCACTGTTTTTTTAAGATTTCTTACATCTTCATCTCTATATTTGTGTTTGAAAGTTAAAGTTCAAAATTCTGATTTGTTGTGAAAGAATATAGATAAATCGACTAGTTAAACCTAAATTTGCGCCGTATTCATTAACAAAATTTAGGTGGTTCAATGTAGTTAAATATGTGGAAGCCTTGTCGACCTGCTTAACTATTGCTCCGAAATTGATTCCGATTAAAGAGATGTCACAGAAGGGTAAAACCACTAATGAAACAGAATATAGGATAATTAAAGGGACATACACGTTTGTATATTAGGTTATAAAAATGTCTAGTGCTTATAATATTTTAATTCTGAGCGTCATTGAAATCTTGTGTAAAACCTTAAGGTCAAATACCAGCGAATCAAAATTTTATGTTAAATAGTCAAGCGTGATTACATTTATTACTTTTGTCATTGTACATTATAAATATACGTTTCACTTAGTCACTAACACCGCTCGCTCATCTCCTCTATAAGAACTTGGCCATTAAGGAACGCACAGATCACATAAAGCTTTTTCTGATCCTCCACACCGCTCACATATTGTCACTCACCTGCCATCAACATCGCTCATCAACCGTTCAACATTGTTCATAATATATGTAATCCACTCACTACTCATCCACTAGTCCTTGCTCACCAACATTTTCGTTGCACTCACCGTTTGCATACTATCTCCACTTTACCATTTCTCTTCCGCTCATTTTGATCGCTTTAATTTCAATTCTATAATTGTTGATTCTTGGCTCGCTCACCAACATTCTTGCTGCACTCACCGCTCGCACACTATCTCCATCTCACCATTTCTTTTCCGCTCATTTTAATCGCTTTAATTTCAGTTATATAATTGTTGATTCTTGGCTTGCCTGCGAGCGAATTGCCTGATTTCCTCGTTTTTCCTGCTTGCACTCAACTTTGTAGGATTTTCTTGATTTGAATTTCATGACTTAAAATTCCTGCGTACAACCTAGAAATTCACCAGTAAAAAGAGTATAAAAAAAAAATAAATGTGAAAATGTGATTCAGGGTGTACAACTTCATTTCCTTCATATACATATATATCTGACCATGTTCAAGAACTCACGCTCAATTAACTAATCACCCATGTAGATGCTACAAATGCTGCTAGTTGCGTTATCAATGAGCAAGTATCGCTGTGTATTAAAGGAGGTACAACAAAATAGCTGGATTCAGATCTAACAGGCAATCTTAACATTACCTATCATGTAGAGCTGCAAGTGTAAAACCATAAACTGTTATTTAGAGGAATCAACATACCATGAATTTTAATCAGCCCCCAGCCAAAAGAAGCAATGCACAGATACAATTGCATTCAACATGAGTTATTTGACATAAATGATGCCCTCATCATCAAAGTCGTCGCTCTCCAACTCAGCATCTTCATTTCCATCACCTGGCTCTTCAAAATCAGGATCTTGATCTTCCGTGCCTTTCCTCTCATTACCATCTTTTATTTTATCTAAGATAGCAATTACCTAATTCAGATGAAGTATTTAGTGGTTAGTGATAGGACTGTAATGGGTTAAATACATAGAGTTTTCCAAGAGAATCAGTATGGCTCATGCAACAGCTATGTGAATATGAACTTTTTTAAACAAAAACAACATGCCCCAATAATCTGGCAAGTAAAATAAGATGACATATCAGGGGAGTAAAACAAATTTCTTCAAATTGTGTAGAAATCAATATTCATGTGCAAATGACATCTATCCACTACCAACACGGATGAAGAGTACACACTATGTTTACATAATAACACGATTATATTATCTATTATTTCAACTTTATTTTTGTACACAAGTAATCTGGATCTATAAAATATAGTATATCATAACATCCTTGCATCTATTTATCCCTCTTGCCAAAAAACAAGTAAGTTCTGCAGTATGGAGAAAATTAACACCAAATTTTTCAGAAAAAAAAAAATCTTGTCACCAAGATGCACAAGTTGTAATTCCGCACACCTAATTACAGTAAATTGTACAAAAACCAAACAAAAGATAGTGATATTCATTTGACAAAGACGGAATATAGATGACAGCCTGAAAAACAACTAGCAATGAATCAAGAAATATCAGGAAAGAAGCTGAAGATACTTGTCATCCAGACTAAAATATCCAAACGAATAATGCGTATCAATGATGAAACTACTTCCAGTCTCACCCTGCTTCCTCGCTCTATGGATTCATCTTCTAGGAAACGAATCTCAGGAGTTAGCCGCAGCTTCATTCGCCTGCCTAGCTCACTACGTACATATTTTGCTTTTGCTTTCAATCCTGCCAGAGCAACTTCTTTCCCCCTTTCATCCCCGAAAACAGATACATACACCTTAACAACCTACAGAACCTAAAGTCAAGTTAAATTTCTGTGTAAAAGAGGAAGAACAATGCCAAAGAACTGAGATCTTCAAAATCACTATCGAACAATTGGACAATTCTTCCTGTGCTCTATTAACAGGATCACAATAATAGAAAACATTGCAAACCAAAAACCTAAATAATTTCCAAAATTATGCACATCGCCGCATAATTTACCAAATTTCAAAATCAATTAAACCAAAAACCTGCAAATCAGCAGAGACTTCAACGTCACTAATTGTGGTAAGCGACGACAAGTATCGATCAGCACCCAAAGAAGCTTCGGGCAACACCGCGTACTGCAAAATCTTATCTGTCAGCAGCATATCCGATATCTCTCGCCTAATTTGCTTCGCCACCATTTTGACCCTCCTAGGGTTTGCCATGCAGATAATTGCTCTATTTCCCGAACAAATACTGCCGCGGCCATTGGTGATAGTAAATACACGATGGAGCGGACGACAGACGAGGCGAGCAGTAGACGATGATAACGGCGAAGAAGGCGCTATGGAACATGGTAAAGCTGTAGCGGGACAATGGGCAATGAGTTGCGGCATTAGAGGAAGCGAAAGAAGAGAAATGAAGCTGACGAGACGACAAAGATGAAAGCAGCAGAGGGAGATTCAGATTATCCTCTGAGGGCAGTTTGGGGAATATGCTTTTTGATTCTAAAACTACTGGGCTTCAGATTAGGCCCATTTTATACATTGGACCCTTATTATTTGTGCGGTCCCGTCTGAATGTGTTTATTTGTGTAAGTGTCGGATTTTGGTTGATGTTTGTAGGTAGTTCGTAGGTGGTCAAACTGATGGGTTTTGTGAGTTTTAAATCAAAATTAAAGAATATCCAAATACCAATTATTTTTCATTATTTCTCCAAATTTATACTCCATTTGTTTTAAACATCGTGCAACATTTGTATTTGGCACGAGAATTTAGGTGGAAAGTATTAAGTATAGTAATTTGAGATAATTTGGATATTAAGTGATGTGATTGGAGAGAGAAATGATTATTTGTTTTTTTTTTATTTGAGTGATGCGATGAAATAAAGTGAAGTGTATATTAATATATGTATAAAAATATTATTAATTATTTTTAAATTTAGAAATGTTCCAGTGAGTTTGAGACAAATAAAAAAGAAAATATTGCAGAGTGTTTGGGACGGAAAGAGTATTAGATATGACAGGTTCCTCCATATGGGAGGAATAAAATTGATTAGCAACAAAGTGGCTGGTGAATGGATTTTGTGTTATAGATTCTTGAAGGTATATAGTTTGTTAGAGACTTTGTAAATGATTTGCATAGAATGAAAGAGTGAGCTTAGTATGAGGGGGTGTTCATGACTAATGGGGAAACTAGATGAGGTAGATTAGCGACTTTTGAGATAGATGGACACACCTCTTATGAAGCTCAAATTCTTCTCAATTTAGTGAATCATCTCTGGTTGAAAATTAAGATGTAGGTTATTGGCGACGAAACTGGATTATCAGTTGCGTGTGTTTTATCTTTGAGCTTGCAGAGTGTGCATGCCTTGTTTGATTGTCGCACGAATTGTATATAGTTGAATATATCGGTGCAAATCTGACTGTGGTTGAATCTGTTTGTGCAAATATATTTGTTCTTGTGTTCGAGTTGTTTGATCATTGCTATTGTTGCGTATTTGGGCCAACAGTTTGTTTGAACATGAAATTAAAAATAGTACTCTTATTTTTGTATATTTGAAAATTAATTATAAAAATACTCCTTTTGTTCCAAGGATTTTTTTTATTATTATTTTCGTCACTAAAAAGTACTATTATTATTATTTTTTTATTTTAGTAAAAATAATTATATATGAATACTAAAATATTCTTAATTTTTATCTAAACTATAAATATAACATTACACATATAATTTCATTATAGTGGAGGATAAAAATTTGAAAATTTTTTACGTACTTCAACTAATTTATAAAATATTATTATTTTTTAATCTATTATAAAATTTTAAAATAATACTTTAGAGGAGTGAGACGGTGAAAGTATAATATGTAATTGATAATACATGTATAATATAATTACGATAAAAACTATTACTTTTATACTTTTTCTTATTCTCATTTGTTCACAATATAGAAATATATTAAACATCTTTAATTTTATAAATATATTAACTTGTTCTTTTATTAAGGACAAAAATATCAAAAATATTTTATATTTTTATTAACTAATAAATTATTATTATTTTTTAACTCACTCAAAAAAAAAAAAAAATTAGTTACATTTGATTGAGATGGAAAAATTATTATATTGAAATAAGAGTAATATTCAAATAAATGAAAATTAATTGTTAGTTATGATATACATAATAATTTAACCGACATACTTACGTGAAAAACAACTTACAAATTCAACAGAGAAAGTAATATACAATTATTTTTTTTCTTTTACACATTATATATCATGTTCAATAAAAAAAAAAAAAAAAAAAACTTCAATTATATTTCTTAATAATATATTATTTTTAATTAAATGTTTAAACCGTAAAAAATAAATATAAAATATTTCACTTACACAATATTATAATTTTAAAAAATACTTTCATTGTAGGTGTGTTTCTTTTTTGGTATTAAAATAATGTTTTATGAGATGTTTTGTGAGAGAAAAAAAATATTTTTTTTCGAGAAAATGTAAAGGTCAAATAATAAAATTTAGAAAAATTTGTGTAAAGAAACATACCCTTAATAATTAACAACAAAAATTTCAGTAATCTAAAGAAGTAGGGATTTGTTTCTTTTATGTTGGGTTGGATTTGAATTTTTTTAGAGTTTTGGAAACCGTTCTTTTGGTGTAGCAGATTTTGTTTGGATTTGGGGAAATTTTGTAGGATAGTGATGTAATAGATAATGATAAAAGTGATGAGATTATTGATTTTATTAAAATAATTTATATTAAATATAAAAAAATTAATAAATATAAAGTGATGCATTTCCTTTATTAATTTTCCTTCTTCTTCGTTAACAAAAAAAAAAAAAAAAAAAAAAATTAATCCTTGTAGTAGCCTACAGTTATGAACAAGTGGAAAAAATATTTTTGCAAATTACGTTTGATATATAATAAAGAAAGATGTAACTGACGTGAAAGAAGATGCCGAATACAAAAAGTTAATAAGCGTCAATGGAAAAAAATATGTCATACGCGTAGGCCATCCGGTGGCGTGATTTGTGTTATTCAAAGTTAAATTTATTGTAACGGAAATTAGTTTGCGAGCTTGAACGCATACAATACAATTGTAACGGAATTCCGTTTACTATTGTGATTTGTGTGATTCAAAGTTAACATATTGTGCAAATGTATTGGTAGAAGAAAAGTAAATTAACGCTCTCCGTGCACGGCCATTCAACCTAAGAACGTAATGCGCACAGATGTACATGACAGTGCACCCGTATGGTCTGGTGAAATGAAAGCAGGACAGAAAAAAACTGCTAGTGTGCACAACCATGCAGGTCACCCGCGATAAATATAATCTAAGAATAATGACGCGTACAGGACAATGTATGTATTTACGCACGACCGTGCACGTGTGCTTGAAGTTGTGCACTCCCCATAACAACGAATCAGGTCGACCACATAAAAGTCTACATGGCCGAGCTCGGTGGGTGTAACCGGGCTGTTTCCACTATACAAGAAAACAAAAAAAAATACAGCACCGTGTGCACGGTGATGAATTGGTTTGTGGAAGATGTAGAGGGGTAGGAGAAGAAAAATTAATAATGGGGGAGAGAGAAGTGAAATAATCAACACCTACACCCTAGGCGTGCATAAGGTTGTCCCCGTAGTCCTAGTCTCGCGCTCATTTTGCCCGCTATAGGAGAGCAACAGTAAGTTTGGGAGATTTTCTCCCAAAGAAATATCCCGAGGAAAACACACCTTACATTCGTCTTGTTGACTGAGCAACATAATTTCGATATATATTTAATATATAATTTCGTCATTTCTCAACATTTTCGTAATTTTTTTAAAAATCTATTTACACACAATTATTTTTATCCCATTGTATATTACATTAAGCAAATTTAATCCATTAAAATCTTTTAATAAATTTTAGTCATTCAAATAAGATTAAAATTTTTCAATGTGAATTGTTGCACTACAAATGACATAGACCGAATACAACGGGTTTGTTTGTTTTGTATGTTGTTTGAAGAAAGAAAATTTATATGACGTATAGAGAACTGTATAGATAATATAAAAATAAAAGGAGTGAATCACAAAAAGACACACCAAACTATGTTATACAATCGTACTTAAATATATGTCAAACTCTTGTAAATCATGTGGTGAGACATCTCTCACTTAAGGGTTAAATTGTAGGTGAAATTTTCATTAGGTACATGATTGTGTGGATATATAAAAAAAAAATGGTATTAAATATGATATACAATGAATAAAAATATAATTAATTATAAAAAATGGGTAAACTATATTTTTAGTCCCGTAACTGGAACCCCTTATCATTTTAGTCTCGTAAGTGGAGCATGTCGCAAACTAGTCCCATAAGTGAAAAATTTTCGTTGTTTTAGTCCTCAGGCGCCGGAGACGCCCGCGTGGCTCGCCGGAGGTTACGTGTCCGCCAGGTCAGCGACACCTGACAGTCACCCATTGGCTTCTTAGAGGTCTCGGTCCTGAGTTCTCCAATTTCACGGCCGCACAGATGTCGCAAGATCCTCTGCCAGATTCTACAACTTTCTTTACCAGGGCGCTAAGTAATAAGTTATTTCAAAAATCTCTTGCGACCACTAATCACTCTCCGATTCCTTCACAGGTTGCTTTCACTGCGTGTTCGTGGCTGAGGCTTCGGGGGCAATCCCAGTCGCCGCTTTCCCTTCCATAGAGGCCGCAGTAGTACCAACAATTCTTCCTATATCGGGGTTGTCGCAATTTCACGCCATGGTGTTTTTTCTGTCGAGAAATGGACCATAATGTGTTTGATTTCCCAAAACGCTTCGAACGTACCTACGATCGCTCTTGTCGTCCAACCAATACGGCAAACCTTGCTGAAGCCTTTGTTGCCGACTGTAAAATCTCGTATGTCACTCCGTCAGATTGGTACTTAGATACAGGTGCATCGGCTCATATGTCTACAAATATCTCTCATCTTGACAGTGTTTCATCCTACTCTGGTTATGATCATGTGACCGTCGGTAATGGTGCGAATTTATTCATATCTCACACCGGTTCTCTTTTTCTTTCGCATGGTATTACTTTACGGAATGTTCTTGTTGTGCCTGGTCTATCCAAGAATTTACTGTCTGTGAGTCAACTGACTCGTGATTATCCCATCCAAGTGGTCTTTACTGATTCAAAATTTTATATTCAGACTTGGGATACCGGACAAATACTCGCAAGAGGGACTCGTGATCGGGGGCTTTACTTGATGGACTCTCCGAATCATGCACTTACTGCAGTGATCAAGAATAAAGGTTTACGAGCTTCTTTTGAGTTGTGGCACTCTAGGTTTGGGCATGTTGCTCCTATAGTTATTTCCCTATTACACAAACTTGGATTATTGTCTTTTACTACTTTATTTTCTTTATCATCACTCTGCCAGACATGCCAATTAGCTAAGAGTTCTCGTTTACCATTCACTGTAAATGATTAACATGCTGATGGTATTTTGGACTTAATTCATTGTGATTTATAGGGTCCAGCACCGGTTGTCGACACTGCTAGTTTTCTCTATTATGCTATTTTTATAGATGATCACAGTCGCTTCTGTTGGTTTTATTCATTCCATGCAAAGTCAGATTTTGTGGACGTATTTCTGATGTTTCAAAAATTTGTTGAAAATCAGTTCTCTAGAAAAATAAAGCAATTTCAAAGTAATGTGGGTACTGAATTCATGAATACCCGTTTGCGACAACACTTCTTATCATGTGGCATTCGACATCTTATGTCTTGTCCATATATTCCAGCACAAAATGGTAGAGCAGAGCGAAAACATCGTCACATCACCGAGATGGGTCTTGCCTTGCTTTTTCATTCCTCAATCCCTTTCTCCTATTGGGTTGATGCTTTCAGTATAGCGGTGTACATCATAAATCGATTACCTATTGGGGGTCCTTTCAAATAAGTCCTTATTTGATATACTCTTTGGTCGGACTCTTGCCTATGACTGCTTTCATATATTTGGGTGCCGAGTATACCCGTGTTTACGGGATTACACTAAGACTAAGTTTGAACCTCGAAGTGTGCCATGTGTTTTTCTGGGGTACAACACCATTCATAAGGGCTTTCGCTGTCTCGACACATCTTCTGGCCGCATGTATATCACTCGGCATGCTCGATTTGATAAAGACAATTTCCCGTTCGCTCGTTCCAGCCCCTCTAAGCTTATTTCATACCTCACTTTTTCGAAGTTCCTTGATGCATCTGACTCATGCCCTTCTCAAGTACCCTATTCTGATTTTATCAACGCACCTCTTATGTCAACCAACAACTCTACACCACTGTCATATGTTATCCACCATAATGATGTGTTTTTTCCTACCGATTCAAAATTTAATCCTCTACCGCTACCCCAACAAGATGTGAATCCACAGTCACCCCAACAAGATGTCAATCCCTTGCCACCACTTGCTCTCATGCGCATTCATCCGATGCGAACTCGTGCTCAGTCGGGTATTTTCAAACCTCGCTACCATGCCGATATTGCTTTTACTGAGTTCAATCCTCTATATTCTTCTCTCATTACTATTACCGAACCCAAAGGCATTAAGACTGCTCTAAAACACCCAAAATGGATTCAAGCTATGGAAGAAGAAATGGACGCTCTCCGTCGCAATAAAACATGGGACTTAGTTCCCCGGCCCTCAAATACAAATATTGTTGGTTCAAAACCGGTTTATCGCACTAAATTTATTGCCGATGGTTCAGTGGATCGCCACAAAGCTCATCTTGTCGCTCAGGGTTTCAACCAAGTTCCTGATTTTGATTTCACCTACACATTCAGTCCTGTGGTGAAGGCATCCACCATTCGCATTCTATCTCTCGTTGTTATGCGTTCCTGGCCATTACACTAGCTCAATGTAAAAAATGCTTTTCTAAATGGTTTCTTGATAAGCCGGTCTATATGGAGCAACCCCCTGGTTATGTCGATCGTCTTCATCCTACTCACATTTGCCGTCTTCGAAAGGCATTGTATGGCCTTTGGCAAGCTCCTCTAGCTTGGTATCAACGGTTTCGCACTTTTCTCCTTTATCTTGGCTTCATGCAGTAAAGCTGACACTTCTCTTTTCATTTTTCGACGCCAAGAGGTTTTTATCTATCTACTCATCTATGTTGATGATATCATTATTACCGGTAACAATTCTTCCTCGCTTCGTGCTCTAATGACTCGTTTAAGTACATAATTTTCAATTAAAGATCTTGGTCGCCTCGGCTATTTTCTCGGTTTGAAGGTCACCTACCCTTCTTCAGGATTATTTCTCAGGCAATCTAAATACTCTAGAGACATTCTTATTCACACTGATTTGCTAGACTCAAAGCCTATCTCTACACCTCTGGCGCCAGGAGCTTCCTTCACTTCTACAGGTGTTGATTTTCCAGATCCTACTCTCTATCGCTCCCTTGTTGGTGCGTTGCAGTATTTGACGATTACTCGCCCAGATATTTCTTACTCCGTCGATACTGTGAGTCAATTCCAACAACGTCCCACTATTGAACATTTTCAAGCAATGAAACGCATCCTCAGATACGTGAAAGGTACTCTTGGTTATGGTTTATCCTTTTCTCTAGGCCAGTCAACTCTTCTTGGGTACTCCGATGCTGATTAGGCACGTTGTTTGGACACTAGGCATTCCACTTATGGCTATGTTGTTTTTTCTGAGACCAAATCTTATCTCTTGGAGTGCGAAGAAACAACCAACTATGTCTCGGTCAAGCTGTGAGTCCGAGTACCGCGCTTTGGCCAACACATCTACTGAACTTATTTGGGTATGCAATATTCTTCGTGAACTTCATTCTCTACCTTCAGCGCCACCGGCTCTCCTATGTGACAACAAGAGTGCCCTCTTTCTTATTCAAAATCCCATCTCCCACAAGCGTGCAAAGCATATTGATATTAACTTTCATTTTGTTAGAGAACTTGTTGAGGCTAGTCGTCTGAGAACTCAATTTATTCCTTCTACTGATCAGCTTGCCGACATCTTCACTAAAAGCCTACCGCATCCGTTGTTTGAATTTTTCAAATCCAAGCTTCGCGTCCTCTCTAATCCCATGCTTCGCTTGCGGGGGTATTAGACACAATTAGTGCCTTTATATTAGGCTAAATCAGTGCTCTTCATATCCTTGTATTTTTAGTAAATATAGTCTTTCCTTATTCATAGATTCCATATCAATGGATTTGTCAAAACAAAGGTAAAATTATTTTTTCTTCTATCACATATGTCAAACTCTCGTAAATCAAGTGGTGAGACATCTCTAACTTGAGGGTCTCGGGAGAAATTCCCATTAGATATGTGATTGTGTGGATATAAAAAAGAGCATACTTAATATGATATACAATGAATAAAAATATAATTAATTAAAATAATTTGAAATTAATTTAAAATGTTGTGTTGATTTGAATTTTTGTTTAAATAATATTTTATTGTAATATTTATTGAAAAGAAATTTTAGTATATTTTTATTGAGAACTATAAATAATGTTAATTTTAATTTAAAATGCTAAGAGAACAACATGACAAAACTATAATGATGCATGAACAAATTGGTCGTGTATTGATAAAAGATTTGTTCACCTAATTTAATTTTTATGGTAGGATTCTCCATAATTTTTTTTTTCTTTACATACAATATATATATTTAATGTATATAATATATATTTTATTCACACAAAAAAATTAAAAATTTCATACAAAATATTAATATTTTTTTATATTATTGATGCCATTTCATATTTGACATAAAAAAAAATATATTCACAAAAAAAAAATACAAAGTGAACACACCCATAATATTCACTTAGCTTACCAAATTTATTTTTATTTTTCTTTTTGGTCCGCCCCTTAAATTTTATCAAATTACTAATTTCGACAAAATTAAAATATCACATTTAATTATGATCTTAAATTCAATATTTTTTTTACAATAAATGCCACAATTATTATTACATGCTCACATACTTCTTCGGCACAAAATGTCAATATCCATTTAGTTCAATATTTTTATTATTCAATCCCAAATATTCGTCTAAACACGCCCATAAGAACGCAAGCTAGAAAACTCTCTATTACTCAAAAGTGTTTATAATTTAATAAATGAATATATCAAATTTAATCTTGTAACAAATAAACTTCGAAAACACTTTAAGTATTTCCTAACTAAAAAAAAAAAAAAAAAAACAGCCAAATCCCCTTAAACAAAAAAAAAAAAAAAAAAAAAAAAAAAAAAAAAAAAAAACCAGTAAAAACACACCCCGATCTTTCTCAAAGCACACATTACAGACACAGTAAAAACTCCAAATATAATGCATTTTGCTGTAAAATTCATTAATAGTTCATGAGATTATGCATAACATTTTCTACTTCCTGTTACTTCTTTCTAACCTGACAAAAACTTACAACATGGAGCTTCAAATGGGATCAGCACAAAATCTTCCTCTCCTCAAAAATTCACTTTAAAAAGACCAATAAATGAAGACAAGAAGAAAAAAAAAAAAAAAAAAAAAAAACCCACAAATTACATGTAACAACAAATAAAGGATATAACTGTCAAAATATCGGAATGGTAAAACTTAACCTGTATGAGATAGATGTGTGACGATTACACGTCAGAAGTTGGCTTCGGTTGTTGTTGTTGTTGTTGCTGCTGCTGCTGCTGTCCCTCCATCAAACTCAATTGCCTCCTTAGTCGCGCAATATGCGCTTGTACCTGCCGTTTTTAGAAAAGCATCAGTATGTACAACCATGCTGAAAGACGAGGAAGAGGATACAAATATTGTGTGGTTCACTTCCTTTGATTTCATAGATTGGTAACTTTCTTTTATACAATTTACATTTATATATAAAACACTTAAAGGAGATAAAAACGGGATAAAAAAAAATTCACTTCCCTAACGTATGAAGATCGGCTATGGAAGCTGCTTTAGGAAGAGATTCTCAACGTCGGTGGAATAAATCAACACGAAATTAGTGCATGGTAATGTTCAAGTTCACCTTAGCTATAAACTATCATAGAACTAGTGAGACATCAGGTTTGTTCTCTCAAGAGTTTTTTTTTTTACTAGACAATTTCACAATTTTCCTTCAAATATACATATATATAATATCCAACACCCATTTTTCATACAAACTACCAATCTAACACCTATTTCACCTAAATAAAAAATAAAAAAATAAACATCAAAAGAAAATTCCCCATGAATGTATGAGGAGCAAATCGACACAAAATTAGTGCTAAAATATTTTCAAGTTGCTTACCATAAACTATCATTGAACTAGTGAGACATCAGGTTTGTTTTAACTTCTCTTTTTTTATTTTTTTATTTTTTTTCTACAATTCAATCTCACAATTTTTCTTCAAACATTACATCCAACACTAAATTTTCATATAAAAGATCATATATAACAACTATTTTATCTCAAAATATAAAAAGAACATGCTTGGGTACTGTCTTTTAACATTAATTTCAAGTGAAACAACAACATAACATAGAATATAACATCACAACCGTCAATTACAATACACATATATGCATATTCACCTGCTGTCGAGCTGCTGCAAGTTTCAATAGTTCGTCCGCTTCAGAGAAATTGGTAAACCATTGGGTCAGGGGATGGTCCTTGGTGTTGCCTCTGGTTTTGCTGTCAACATCCTCACTAGGTGCTGCAATAATGTTTACGATAAAAAATACAATTAGTTAAATTAGACAGTGAAAAACGCATGCAAGTAAATAACATTTTCTTGAATTTAAGCACAAGAATGGAAAATAGCGCACCGGGAGGCAATGCAATATCTGGAGGTAGTCTAGGCACAACAACCGCACGATGATTTTGCACCCGAGCGAAGAAAGCATCGGGAGGCTCTGAGAAAACAATTTCATCGTAAGATTCCACAACAACAGGCTTCTTAGTGGAGAGTGGACCAGAATCATCTTCAGGATATAGCTTCAAATGGTGATATCTATACCCATTTATTACACGTAGAAGATACTATATTAGATGTGCATATATACATACATATATATATATATACATGTGTAGAGAGGTACACAAACTCACAGGTGCAACGGCTTGTCACTAACATCATTGTGAAAATAAAGGGTAATGGCAATTTCGAATTCACCCCATCCAGCTTCTGATAGCTCGAATGGTGCACTGTCGATTATCCTTGTCGGGTTGTTAAAACTCGAATGAAGTTGGAAAACTGCACGCCTTATCACCACTCCCAAGTCCTCGTTCGTTGCACCACGGACATAAACTGTCCATTTGTGTGATTGATGCCTGATCAAGGTAAGCCGAAAACAAACACCATGCTTGGAAATTTCATTTGAAACAAATGATAATTCAAAGCACACTTGGCTCTGTTATTGTACGTTTTCAATTATATTTTAAAATATTACATTAATGCCTATTTCTCATTTGAAATATTACATCAAAAACTTCTTCTCTACACAATATATCACATCCAATACCTGTTTACTTATATCAAATACCTATTTTTTTATTAAAAATTTTGTACTATTTCCAAAACTCTCTGATTTCCAAAACACTTCCAAAACATATTCAAACATGGCTCTATTTATATATGTTTCCAATTCTGTTTTATAAATATTACATTTCAATCTTAATTTTCATTTGAAATATTACCTCAAAACTTTATTTTCTATGTTAAGCATCACATTCCATACTATTTACATAATATCAAATACCTATTTTTTATTTCGAATTTGTACTATTTCCAAAACTCTCTGAAATTCCGTAACACTTCCAAAACGTATCCAAACAAACCCGACAATCATCCAAACACAACTTACACAAATCTAACATACTCTCCTCACATAAACATACCAATTCGCAACAATTCGGTTACTACTTTCTAGTCAAAATTCAAACACTAATCCTCATGTTTGCCGGAGTAACCTATCGGAACAAAAATTTATTCATGCTTATTGCTCAGTATATCTTACTCTATACAACCTGAAATCAATCATGTGCAAATTATTTCATATACTTCATATCAAATGAAATTATATATTATAGAATTTCTATTTAATAATATTCAAAATTAAAAGAACAGAATCATAAAAAAACGTAGGCAATTTAGAACAGGAATTTCATCAAACAGCTTATGTACTAATTACGCTAAATGTGCTTCATCAAAAAATGGAGAAGATTCAACTTACTCGCTCGCCTTCTTTCCAAGCCAAAATGCGACGTTACCATACACAATAGGAACGCAGATCTCTGAATCCTTAATCTTCTTAACCAAACTCTAGAGAATCAGAAACAACACAAGAAAAAATTAAAAAAAGCGAAAAAAAAAAAAAAAAAAACTACTTCTCTCAGTAAGATTCAAATCATTTGGCTGCAATTGGTACAATGCGGTGATTCCAATAATGTTTTGAAATTGGGAAAATAAAAAACAAAAAAACGAAGGAACTCGCACCTTCTTCTCATTATCATCCGCTAATTTAATCGTTTTCGAGCGCTGCAATTTCGCCGAATTATCCTGTTGTTCGGCGCCGTTTTTCTGAGGCATTCTGCGATTGAAGAGCTTCGGAAGCAAAATCAAAATCGATCGGAAAAAAATTAGGGTTTCAGATTGGGGCCTTTACCGTGCTGTGCTATTCGAGCTAGGAGAAAGGAGAGGAATCTGCTGTGGAGATGTCTATAGTATGGATTAGCTTGACCAATCAAATGGGGTGGGGTACACGTGTCGAATCATGAAGGGGTTATTGTATATACACCTGCGTCGCAGGAGATTATGACCGACATTACCGTTGCCAAGTCCAATTGGAGTTCTCACATATGCCCCTTTTTGAGTTTTGTCCGACAGTGTTTAGGCTGGGTTCCGATTTTGCTGACTTGTTTATTTATTTTTTAATTTAAAGATATTTTTATTAAATACTTCATCCGTGCTCGATTCATCTTTTTTACGAATATAATTAAAAATATATTAGTAAAAATAATTATTTTATAATATAAATTAAAATTAAAATAATTTATTAGTTAAATAAATTAAAAAATAAAAAATTTAAAATAAAACTAAAATTTATAATCATTTTTCAAAAAAATAAAAATATATAGAAATGTTATACAAACACAAACGTTATTGTCAACATAGTAGGTGAAACAAAGTGAGTATATTTTAAATAATATTTTATATTTACCTTGTGGTTATTCTAAAATTTTTTATTGATATAATTTTTAATTAATATTATAAAAACTACTTCGACATACTCCCTCCGATCCCATCGAAATTGAACCATTTGATTAAGGACACGGTATTTAAAATAAGAATATTTAATTAGTTAATAATAATTAGTTATAATATTATTTTTTATATAATTAATAATATTTATAGTTTTAAAATAAATTTAATATATATGATTAAAAAATCAAAATAGATGTTTAGATATTTAAAAATTATATAGCAATTAAAAATATATTTAATAGGGTAGAGAATAACATTTTCTATAATACAAGTAAATAAAAAAAATTGTTTATTTATAATTAACATAAATTAATTTTATAAAAGATGTGTAGTTTTAAATATAGATAAAAATATTTATTTTTTTAATGAGAAATATAGAAATAAAAGGGTTTTGAGTGGTCCTATGTGTTAGGTAGTTAATTAAGTTGATTTAACTAAAAACAGAAAGGTATGAATTATTACGGGACATACAAAAATGGAAATAGTGACAATCGTTGGGATTATATAAAATTTAAAATATTATATTTTAATAATAAATACGGATAGTTTCAATATGTAAAACTATGTTACTTTATAATTTATAAATTTAATATAAGAGCACGGTTGTCCTTGAAAATACTTTCGAACAATTTATTGAAGAGTCTACTCAAACTCGAATGAATTCTTCGATTTCTTCAAGAAAAAAAAAAAAAATCATGATTGGAAAATATAATAAAAGAAACGAAACAAAAGAGAAAGCAAAAAGTAAAAAAAAAAAAAAAAAAAGAAAGTAAATAAAAAAACCAAGAAAGTAAATAAAAGCATGAAAAAAGAATATTTATTGAAATTGTATGATATATGGTCAATTCTAGAGAAGAAGAAGCGGTACAGAAGTTGATCCTCCCTTATTAAAAATTAAGTTATTTTATTTTATCATCCCTAAAATTTCTCTTTATTTCAACAGATCCACGTTTTCGTCTGGGCCGTGCATTAGGCCATCGGTGGCGTTGCTTGTGTGGGCTGTTTGGCTATGTTCACGGGCTCAGTACATTGATCACAAATCATATTTTGACATAACAAAATATCCACCATAAAAATAGCGATGAGGCAAAAATGCAAAACTTCTAAACTAATTGATGCTTTTGGTGAAAATTCAAGATGACTTAGACCGAATTCTTCGCCCTTAAATAAAGTTGCACATCGCATTGAAGTCGAGCAGCACGATCCATCCCCATTGATGATTGAAGTTGTGCCAAAGAAATAAAATGTGCGAGAAAGCGACGCAAGGCTTCGGTAATTCACAACGCATGCAGCGATGTGTTATTACTTCTTGATCAGGTAGCGCGTTGAATTTTAAGAGTGGGCCATGGATCGATTGGCCTCTTTGCATTGAGGTTGCATCGAAAAACAACTTAATGCTATGCTCAGAGGGCATGGAACCTGTGGTTAGAGATCCACCATACCTACTATGAAATCGCCTTCATGCAAAGAGCTCGTTTTAAGTCGAGACTAACTTTGGACAGCTCGTCATTCTCGAGGGTGCACTCCTTATTTATTGTGGATGAACTATTATCCATGTGCAAGCTAGTCCCAGCATCCCCCCGCTCCATATGGGTGAGTAGCTATTTACGGGTGAGCTGCTTGCTGTGTGCAGCTGCCCCCAAGCTGTTACTATTTTCACCTTATACGTGTCGACCTCAATTTTGCGGTGATGGACAAGGAAACCAAGAAACTACCCAGCTTGGATGCCAAATGTGCACTTGGCGGGGCTACCTCTTACGAATCAAGGACTATCGGAGGTGCAATAAATGGTTTTCAAAGCTCTGGGATTTGATAACCACATTGTCGATATAAATCTCTGTAGATGTGCCGATCAAATTGTAAGTTGCTTCTCCATTTTTCAAACTAAACCACATTACGATCCATTCAAAGATTCAAATTGCTCTAGGGCAGTTGAAGGTTGTCTTATGCGCATCTTTTGCGACTAAATAAATTTGATTATAACCCGAATAACCGTCCATAAATGATAAGAACTCGTGTCCCAATGTATAGTTGATAAGCATTTTGACTATCGGTATTGCATACTTGCCTTTAGGTCTTGAAAATCGATACACAAACGCAACTTCCCACTATTCTTCATCACAGAAACGACTTGGAAATTCATTCGGGATAGTGACAAGTGAGTATGAAACAATCTCTATTTTATCCTTAATCTTCGGGAGAATATCTAGATTAAACATCCTTGGGGCCTGCTTGTGCGGCCAGTAATTAGGTTTTTTTGGTAACCGATATTCAACGAGATTCCGAGCTAGTCCGGCATTTCATCATAATCTCAAGCAAAACAATACCGAAACTCCTTGATTAACTCGATAAGACGATCTCTGTAAGCGATATCCACCAGGGAGCTGATCTGGGCGCCTTTCGGACTTGCCTTGGTTCTTAAATTGATTTCATCAAGTGGGTCTTACGCTTCGAATGTAGGAACGATTTTCCAAATGAGGCTCGGAAACGGCTCATCATCTTCCAATTCAGTAGGCCTCGGTGAGGATATTGGGCCTCCCTAAGGCCGTGGGCGCCTGCCTCATTCCTGGGGAGAGGTGGGTGACCCGATTCATGAGTCGACTTCATCGGAAAATAACTCATTTTCTAGCCGTAGGACGGCCTTTGAATGAATTTCAAATCCTCTCGATATTAAGTTGTATTTTTGTCATAACTCAGCCCCTTACAACATCATCAAGAGGGAAAAAACCTCTGGAGAGTAATAAATTACCTCTAATGTGAGCATTTCCATTAACGGATCGGATTATTTTTCAGCAACTTCGATACAGCCTCCATTCCAAAATATTACGCATTGATGCAATGTAGATGGTACGGACTGAGAAGTGCGTATCCAATCACACCCGAGTATTTTCGAGTAGGTAGGGGCCATTCGATAACAAAGAAAACCATTGAATCCTTCCTTGATTCGACTGTCACCTCGGCAACAACGATGCTAGCAACTTTATGCGCATTATCGGTAAAAGTTGTAGTTTATATTCAAATAAGAATCAAATTGTCGTGATTTTTCTAATTTTACGCAAAGTCGAGAGCATCATTATATTAATTGGTGCACCCCATCAACATAAATCTTGCTGATCCGATGCCCATCAAAAGCAATAGTAAAGAAGAAAGACCTTAAACAACGCACCTCATTTTCTGTCGGCTGGGCAGAACTTTTGGGAGGACAGGGCTATCGTCTTCCACCATAATATTGCTCCGCAATGACTTTGGCTATTTTGAGGAGCAACAAATTCTACAAGCAAGACATTGACCATGTTGACCGTAAAATCGCATTGGAATTGAAGAGTTTGATCGAGGTCGTGATAAGAAGCTATAATATTCAAGATGGCTTCAGATATATTATCTTCTTCAAGGACATCAATTTTGGGCTCTTATTCGGGTATCTTCGAGTTGGATACGACCATAGGTGTTTTCCCTTCATCCTTGATCGAAACAGCACAGGAGGTGCTCGCCTCTGCTTGATGGTTCAATTTAAACTATATTTGATCATTCAGGAGCGACGGAAGGTCATTAGGGACTGTTTCAGCATGGACAGTAAGCAGTGTACCTTGCTGCTTCGACCTTCTCTCTTTCTAATTGTTTAAGTGATGCCGGAGATTTTAGATATCGTCTCAGTACGACTTACCAGCTTCGGGGCTGATTCAGTTACACACCCAGTCCCTGATTCATTCAGGTGTTGCCGAAGGTTGTTAGGCAATGTTTCTATATGGGCAGCGGGTATAGTTAGCGCATCAAAAACTAACTCTGTGCTCTGCTTGTTTACTAGCCTTGCTGCATGGCGCCAATGTTATCTGCCTCTTTTGAGACTAAGACAACTGCTGAAGTTTTCCTAGGACTGATTGACTATCCAGCTCATATCCGTTGGATCTCTCTTTGGTCGTCGAGTCAGATGAAGAGTAATGACCACATGGTCCACAAAAAATACCCTCCAAATTTCTCCATCCCTCATTTCAGTTTCTTTGGATTTTCCAACCTACAAGGAAAATAAGCAAGATTAATATTTGATTTAACAATAATATCATACATTACCTTATTTTTCATCGCGTCCTCTTTTTTGATCTCCTTCTCGGTGGTGCTTTCGTCCTTGTCCTTTGGGGTAATAGGTTTCAGAACTCCTACCGTCATTCCAATTCGTAATGTCACAACACTAACATGTTTTTAGATTTTTTCCGATTGTGATGACCATTTCCCTGTCTCTTTTTTCTTGACATAACGAAGATCCGCCGCCATTTGCTCCGTGCAGGATTAAAGACTTTGAATGCTAGCTTTTGTATCTTGTTGGAATTGAATTGTATTGGCAGTCATGGTTTTCATCATTGCTTTCAATATTATAATAGATTGGTTGGGGGATATGGTGGTGGCTGAAAGAATTGTTGCAAGGGTGCTTGCGGTCGGAAC